AATATATTTATTTATTTAAAGTAACTAATGTTTTAATCATATACTCTACGACACTGGTCACTCATTTCCACTCAAAATACCTACATAATCGGATTAAAAGTTTTATAGCTGTATTGTATTTCTTCAGATACAAGGTGGGTTAGTCGAAAACATCTTAAACTGCCAGTTTTAGTTTGGTTTTTGTTATTATATCATATTAGCTGTCCTCTCTGTATTTCAGTTCTCTAATGAGGGTCAAACTTGCAGTGAGCTATCAACAAATTATGAACGGACTATAGGTAAAAATACGAATCCAATGACACCTTGGTCTTGATTTTTGGACCCTCCTGTAAAATTTCACATTTGAACCAGACTAATATCACAGCACACACATTCAATCTCCATAATCTGCTACAAGTGTTGGCCACTGAAATTATTTGATTATTGAAAGCTAGAAAAATTGTTCTCAAAATAATTGCCAAAACTGTTCGTGTGTGGGAGATATCACTTCTCGGCCAATTCATCAACTCAAACCAAAAATACACCACTTTATTTTCGAATTGAATAAGGATTGTGAAGTATAAAGTAAATTTATTTTCGATAAGTGATTATTTTCATTTCCCTCTGGCTTCCGTTGAATACTTCGCTATTTGTTATCAGCCAAATTGATCTTTTCTCACGCCATTCATTCACTAGTTTATATTCACCACAAGGCAGTCTGATGGAGAACAATAATGGCGAGATGAATGGCCGCCAATATTTTGCAGTTCCGCTTTCAATGAAATCTCTACATAGTATAAAAGGAAGTCGCTTCCCGCTGTCTGCCCCTATGTATGCTTAGATCTTTAAAACTACTCAACACGGAATTTGAGGCGGGGTTTTTAATAGAATGATTGATTCAACAGAAAAGTTTATAATTTTATAGGTCTCCAATGTGATGTAAATAAACACATCTCTCTGCACTTACATTACAAACGACGGCTGAACCCTATATGAGATAGATCATAAAATGTACTACAGTATATTACACCTTGAAAAGATCTACAAAAAAGTCCGCGATAGTATACCGGGTGTCCCACATTTTATGTGACAGGCAATTTCTGGTTTGTTGAAGGAGATACACAAAAATGTTTCATACAAAAGTTTTAGGAGTTCATGAGAGCTATATTTTGATATAATTTTTAAATATACAGGGTGTTTGGTGTAGG